GAGTCGCCCGTGGAATAGTCTGTTGCTACCCAGCGAGTGAGTCTGACAGGCTTCCAGGGTATCTGCTGAAGGTGCGGCAAGAAGGGGCACCGGCGGAGTGACTGCCCGAGGGGACGGCGGTCGCGTTCCCTAGAAAGGAAACCAATTTCTGCCTTCTACCCATGCTGTGCGAGCTGTGGGCGTTACGGCCATTTCTCAGTTGCCTGTACTGCCTCTAAAGACATACAGGTGGGAAACGAGGAGGGGCTGGATGCGGGGGCCAACAGCCAGCCCACGCTCATCAGGTCCCACACAGTGTAATATGTCGCCGTGCAGCCGCTCCAACGGTCCATATAAGAGGAACCGTGGATGGGAAGCCATGTCGAATGATAGTGGATACGGGCGCTGAGAAAACCATCATGCGCCCCGATGTGTTAAATGCGAGAGACTATCATGAGGAACCAAGACAACTCTGTGGGGTCACGGGGCACTGTACGCCACTCAGGGGACCAGTTGAGGCACGACTCGTTGTGGGTGGCAGTGAGGAGGTACTGCCTGTGTATGTCGCCGAGATGGAGGACCCTTGACTCTTGGGAATTGACTACCTTATGCAGGTTGGAGCGTGTATCGACCTGAAGAAACGGAAACTAAGGATACGAGAAAAGGAAGTGCCCTTGTCTCTCGGCGTCGCTCCAGCAGAGTTATTGATGGCTGAGCGTGTGCGTATTGCCTCGGACACAGAGCCTAAAGTGACCTTTGAGTTGTCTGGGAAGTTAGAAAATCATGACCGCATGACCGAGTCCATAGAACCATTGGAGCAGGCAGACAACAGCGAGGAGGTAACCTTTCAGAAAAGACTACCTGGAAATGAGGGGGTGGTTAATGATGTGTCCCTTACGGATCACCTGACTGATCTGGCATGGAGGAGTGCCATACATCTTGACCATCAGCAGCAAGAGAAGTTAAGAGGCACCCTGACAAGGTATGCTGATGTGTTCAGCAAGGGTGACCTCGACTTAGGCCGTACAGGACTTGTTCAGCATCACATTAGGACATGAGATGGTCTGCCTATTAAACATGCCCCTCGGGGAATTGCACCAGCCTGGCGTGAGGAGATGCAGCGTTCTGTGATGGAGATGGAAGCACAAGGGGTAGTTGAGCGGTCTGACAGTCCATGGTCATATCCTGTCGTATTAGTGACCAAGAAAAACGGAACCAAGCGGTTCTGTGTGGACTATAGGTCACTTAACAACGTGACAGCAAAGGACTCTTACCCCTTGCCACGTATGGATGACATGCTGGACGCTATGGCCGGTGCTCGTTGGTTCTCCACGCTAGACTTAAAATCTGGCTACCACCAGGTGGAGATGGCAAGGGAGGATAAAGCTAAGACAGCCTTCTCTTTTGGCCAGGGGCTGTGGCAGTTCACTGTTATGCCTTTCGGCCTGTGCAACTTGGAGGGTCTGCAGTGGAGGACGGCCCTTGTTTACCTCGATGACATTATTGTCTTTGGAGGATCATTTGATGAGGAGCTAGAGCGACTGCAGGTGGTCTCGCCGCTGAGGGCTGCCAACTTAAAGCTCAGTCCTAAAAAGTGCCTGTTCTTCCAGTCCGAGGTGCCATTCCTGGGGAACATCGTTGGTAGAGACGGGGTAAAGACCGACCCCCAGAAGGTAGCTGCAGTACAGGACTGGCCTGTCCCCACTTGTGTAACTGACGTGAAGAGTTTCGTGGGCCTCTGTACCTATTATCGGCGTTTCGTCAAGCAGTTTGCACAAATTGCCTCCCCTCTCCATCAACTCACCAGAAGAGGGGCACGTTTTGAGTGGAGTGCAGCCTGTCAGGTGGCTTTTGATAGCCTGAAGCGAGCCTTAGTTGAGGCCCCTGTACTGCCTTACCCTGATCCAGCCAGTCCCTACCTGTTGGATACTGATGCTAGTGCTGAAGGTCTGGGTGCTGTTTTGTCACAGGTGAAGGATGGGAAAGAATGTGTGGTGGCATATTACAGTGCCAGGTTCACAGATCCTGAGAAAAACTATTGTGTGACCCGAAAAGAACTGTTGGCAATAGTGAAAAGCACCGAGCATTTCCATCCTTACCTGTATGGTGCTAAATTCCTTATCCGCATGGACCATGCTGCCCTGCAATGGCTAAAGACTCTCAAGGCACCTGAAGGACAGCTGGCGCGGTGGTTGGGTCGCCTAGAGCAGTACCACTATGAGGTTCAGCATCGGCCCGGTCGCGTCCACAATAATGCTGACAGCCTGAGCCGCCGCCCTTGTGAACCAGAGTGTCAACACTGCTTGAAGAGGGAAGAGCGGGTCGCATGCTGGCAGTTCCAAGTCTGGGGAGACTGTAGACGCCGAGGAAAGATGGCGTCAGGTACAGAGGGAGGATGATGACCTAACTCCCCTGATCAAGTGGATGGAGGCATCCCCAGAGCGTCCCAGTTGGCCACAAGTAACAGCAGAGAGCCCTGTCACCAAGCACTTGTGGCAGCAGTGGGCCATGTTGCGACTGG